GGTTTTCTACAGTGTGTTTTTGGAAGGTTTGTGGGATTTACCAAATACCATTTAACCATACCATAATTACCCTACCCTCACAATTACACTCCATTTTAATTCTTAGCATAATTGCTATATTTACAAAAATAGAGTACTGACTTATATCTCAGTTAAATTGTGGCGACCAATAGTTTCTGAACCAGTAGTAGGAACTTGGATTTAGTTGGGGAATAAAAAAATAAGTACGCAATTTTGTATGCGCACAAACTAAATTAACTGCTTATATTTTTGTATTCGTAATTATTCAGTTACTAAAATAAATATTTAAGAATACTTCTTTGAAGTAACCCTAGAAAGAACATATTGATGGTTTGTGAGAAAGTAGGCCTTTCCCTTTTGCCATACATGAACTTGTGATTCAAATGCACATATACTTTAACTGAACAGTTTATTTGCATTGTTTATAACATGTAAAGTTATTTCATTTCATGTAAAGTTATTTTCATTTATACAGAAGTGAATTTCTCTCATACAAAAAAGATCTATTAATTAATCAATCAGCAGGGTACTCCTTGAGATAGGAGCTAAACTAAGTAGTTTTCCAATATGCATATGGTTTATTTTGATAGGGTAGTTTACAGCATTTAAAAATTATTTGTTTTATTGAATTTTCTAATTGGGGCCCATTTTTTATTTATTTATTCAATTCTTGCCATTTTCAGTATTTAAATATTTAAAGACTAAAAAAAAATACCATTTCTATTACTAAATTTTTCCATTGGGGCCATTTTTACCTACTTGTCATTTAGGGCCATTTTTACCGGGGCCATTTTTTCCAGGGCCATTTTTTCCGGGGCCATTATTTCCTGGGCCATTTTTTCCGGGGCCATTCTTACCTACATTCAGGATAGAAGCCCTTCAATTCATAGTAAGAAACACAGAACCTAGTTTCACACCCAAAGGATTTTCCACAAGGTTTATTAAAATTTTTATATTAAAAGCTAAAGCATGTTAAATATATAAAATAAAAGGAACTTCTTTCAGTCTAATTTAATGAATATTATGAGACTGAAAATAATGAATTGTTATTACAACGGAGAGAAAGGCGATTTCCCTAACATGAGCAAAGTGGGCGAGGTCAGGTTTTGCTCAAAATCTCTGAAAAGTATGACAATTTAGGGTTTTCAACAGCTCATTTTTATCAATTTTGGAGTCTAATAATATGTAAAAAATGCATAATTTTTTTTTCCCCTGTCAAATATTGTTTTTTTTTTCTGGCGCACCCCTGGATTATTTCATTATTTCCACTCACTTGATATCAGCCTATTATATCTAAAAACTTCTCAAGGTTGCTGAAACCAGACTCAGAAATAATGGAATAATGTAAAATGGGAACAGATAATTTTACTATAGATTAATTAGTAGACGTACAATATATACAGTATATAATGATATATTAATGATCAAATATTCTTGCCCCACAGCCAGGCATGAGGGAACTTCACCATTTACCAAATTTTACAATTTTGAACCAGGTTTTGCCAATCTCTTCTTATCTCTATTAATTACTGCTTCAGGGAATTTTGTAACAAGATTAACAGTGAGGCTCATTAGTTGTGAATAGTTCATAAGAAGATTAGGACAATTAAATCAAAAACCATGTTGTAACTTCTAACATAAGTCATTGATTTTTAAAATTCAAAAGCATATCTATTATGATTTTTATCTGAAATTATAGTTAAGGTAATAAAAATGCCAAATTATATTGAACAACAGGTTTTTAAAATTTTCCAGCTTGGTTTTTAAATACTATACTGGTAATTTATTGAGAAACAGCAATGCCTGCTGTGATAATGACTCTTAAGTAGAGGTATTCTTCTTTGATGTTTAATTGGATTATTGAGATAAGATCCTGGCAAAACCTGGTTCACCAACCCGCCTGAATGCACTTTTAAAGGGTTTGCTGGTAAATGGGATAGTAACAGCATGATGGTTTCCGGCTTTGAGGCTAATGAGGTACTTAAATAATCATTGTGTGACCTAATTAAATTGCTAACCTGAAAATCCCTCTGTAAGATTTAAGTTGCCTGTCAATTGATCAGAGAGCCAATTATATCCCCTTTGAGTAAGTGCTGAACTCATTGCAGTGAGTTGGTTGACGTTGGATGGTTGCTTATTCCTCCAAGACTCAAGCATTGCCATTATTGCATTCTTCTCAAGTTTGTTGTCTTTTTCAATGCAATCTATTTCTGATAACTGCAGTCCTAATTGAACACCTACTAGTTTCCAATCACTTTTAATTTCATTGCATATAGTGAGCAATGTTTTGTCATCCAAACAAACTGAAAGCAAATAAATGAATATTGTACATTCATCAATTATGTAACAGAATTTTTAAACTTTAAATGTTAAAATAATTCCTTGAGATAATGACACCAAATACATCTAAAGATTAACGCAAACAATACATATATTATCTGTGACTTGAGTTGTCAACCATGGGTTTATTTTGTAAATGATTTTACTACATCAAACTTCTCTCCCTAAATACAGTTTACAAAATCACATTTTCTTTTGACAGAACTTGTACCATGTACAAGCCAATATGCGCATAAAACATCTGTCAGACAAATAGAAGACCGTCTTCGGTGCACTAACCAATCAATAATTGTACTGCATCGCAGCCTATACGTAGGTCAATTATAGGGCCAATCATAAATTGTGTTCATTTTTTATTTTGGTGCATACACACATGTGCCAAGAATTGCAAATAGCAAATATATCAGCATCAATGAGTAGGTGACAATCATTTTTACAAGTCAAACAAGCACATGACTATGACAAACACCTCATTATGAGGCTTTCGGAGTGGAGTTGTTTTAGTCCTTTAAAAAATCCTGCAACACTGACTGAAATTGAACCCAGGACCCTGGGACTGCAAATCAAGCATCTTGACCACCAAGCTATTCTACTCCAACCTAAGTTACTCAAATATACTAGAAAGAATAAGTTAAACTACTTGTATATCATATAATGATTATTTAATAATCTGGCACAGCCATATTATGGGGCGGATCCAGAATTTTTCAAATGGGGGAAGGGACACAACAGTCTCAAAATAGATAAGCGAGTAGCACATAACACTGACCATAAATTGAATTTTATAAATGAACTCATATGACTGTCTCTTATACACATCTAGATGTGTATAAGAGCCAGCCATTGGATGTGCCCTTCCCCACTGGATCTGCCCCTGATATTTCACAAATAACAAAATAAAATCTTTTATACGATAACAAAAAAATGCAGCGAAAATGTATATCCAACTGATAAAAAGTTATATGTATAAACAGATATTTTATACAGTACTAGCATAATATAAGATGTATATATTTATTTGTGTTGATAGAAACACATGCTATGCATAAATAATTTCTTTCAGTAAAACTGAATCATTACAACTACACAAATGAAATGTGGCATCTCATCAATCAGTATGTTAAGCCCCTGTCACACTGTAGCGTATAGAACCAATGTATGCCGACGTTTATCAAAATATTCGTTTACGTTTGCGTAAGTTGACATTCGTTCGTGACACGTTCGTAATACATTTGGCATACATTGTATTCATTAGCTGTTCGTTGGGGTACGCTGAGGTACGCTGGGGTCGATTTTAATTTTTGGACATGTTCAAAATTTTGAACGTATGACAACGTTCTGCTACATACGCTATGTATACGGTGAGCATTCGTTGTTTGAACGTTTCGCACGTTGGGTGCACGTTAGGTTTATGTTTTCTGTTCGTCCGTTGTTCATCCAAACACGTTCAATCCCATCTGAAACGTTGCCATAGCAAATGCATAACATATTCATAGCGTTTGTCCAACTAATGAGTAACGAATGGCCAGCGAACACTCAGCATATACCGACCTACATCAACGTTTACAAGGCGTCAATACGTTAGGCATACGTGTGACATTAGCTGGGCATTCGTTGTGTACGCTGAACATTCGTTGGGCGAACGCTGCGAACGCGCTGTCATTCGTTAAATGGACGCTAGTTGTTCGATGAGCATTCGTTTCTCATTCGTTGGCCGTTCATCTTTCACGCAAAAATGTTATTTTTTTGCCAAAAAAATTGAGCTTATTTGAGCGTATCGGGACTTAGAAAAAAAAATGAGAATGCTCGGCATACGTTAGGTCTATTCGCTACTATGTGACAGGGCCTTAAGTATCATATGACTATGTAATAACTCTATGGTTTACCATTTACAAGAAAATTACTAAAGTTTTTAAAGAAATACCCTCCTTAACCACCATATCATATTTTTGTACTAAATTCTTACCTGAATACACTTCTTCAGGGTTCAATTTGCCTGTCAATTGCTCAGAAAGCTGATAATATCCCCTTTGAGCAAGTGCTGAACTCACTGTAATAAGTTGGTTGATGTTGGATGGCTGCTTATTCCTCCAAGACACAAGCATTGCCATTATTGCATTCTTCTCGAGTTTGTTGTCTTTTTCAATGCAGTCTATTTCTGATAACTGCAGTCCTAATTGAACACCCACAAGTTTCCAATCACTTTTCAATTCATCGCAAATACTGAGCAATGTCTTATCATCTAAACAAACTGAAAGCAAATGAATGAATACTGCACATTCATCAATTATATAACACAACATTTTCTAAACATTAAAGGTTAAAAAACTTGAAGACAACAAATGCATTCCTAAATATCTATAATTATTTTACCAAGCTTGTTATTAGTAGAGGACCTGACTAAGATTTGTATGCACTTAATTTATGAGACAATATCTCAACTGATACAGACTAATTTGAACCCTACGATCAACATGGGATGTGTGCCAAAATCTGTATCTGGGACGAACAGCCTGAAAATGACTACACCCTTTTTTAAAATGGCCATGCCCTTTTTTTCATTGGAAGTGCTACTTTAAACAGCAGGCTAGACAATATAAACATATTGTAACATTGAGGGGATAACAGGATAACATTTTAGAATTCACACTGTGGTCACATGTCCTGTTCATATACAAATTAGCTTAAATATGCAGAAAAATTGGGGCCACGCCCTTTTTTATTTGAGGCACTACATTTAGCAGTAGGCCAAGCCATCTGAACATATTGCACACAAGGGTTTTTCTTTTATAAATGAACAAATACGATGAGGGGATAAAATTGCAAAAATCACACTGTAGTCAAATATCCTGTTCATATGCAATTTAGCTTAAATATGCCAAAAAAAAAAAGGTTTACACTCCTTTTTAATTTAAGGCACTACTTTAAATTGTATGCTAAGCAATCTGAACATATTGCAAACAAGGGTTTTTCTTTTATAAATGAACTCATATGATGAGTAACTCAAATGAAATATCATTTAAAAATCACATTGTGGTCACATGTCCTGTTTATATACAAATCAGCTTAAATATGCAAAAAATAGGGCCATGCCCCTTTTTTATTTTAAGTACTACTTTAAACAGTAAGCCAGACAATGTAACATATTGCAAACAAGAGTTTTTTTTTTTTATAAATGAACACATATGAGGGGACCCAGGGGCAGCGCTAGGAATTCCCCGGCGAGGGGTCCAGCTCTCAAACAAGGGGGTCCAAGCTCCACGACAAGTAGTCCACCCCGAATCAGTGAAGCCTAGCAAATTTTTGGGAAACAGTATTTGTAGTTGACATGACCAGGTGCACGTATGAGAATAATGAATATAAACAGTATGTTAAACACGTTAGGCAAAATATCACTCTTATTAACATCTTATGTTCCTATCTGAGCAATGTTATTATTTGCGGAACTACGAATGACATTGGGGCGAGCTATACATCGTCGCTGACTGTAACACGCAATTTGATTGGTCAGAATATGAATAATTTACTCACCAAAGATCAATAACACATGGACGGTACGAGCTGATAGGGGCTAAAAATAACGAGAGTTGTTGGCGGTACAACACCTATAGACCTGTCTCTTATACACATCTAGATGTGTATAAGAGACAGGTATATTAATTATTAAACCAATACAGAACAAAATTTAATATTGTAACTTTTATGTCATCGTCATACATACAAAATATTGAACCAGAATAATACAATTGTGCCATGAACCTTTTTCACTTTTGTTACCATCTCCAAATAATCGTTGGTAGCGTGTTATTCTCACACTGTCTCGTCCACATGGAAGCAAATCTTGCTTAAAATCTCGCAGTATCTGCATATGTTCAGTCTTCTGACTACAAGGGCAGAGGATACACAACTTAACATGTATTCCTCTCCTATCATTAACATTGTGTAACTCGAACGCAGTCTCAAGAAACCTCAACACCTGACGAATAAGTACAATTGTTTCATAATTCAATTACTTATACAATTTTATAAATTTGTTATTTATGCAAAAATATTTAATCTCAATGGAAGGAAAAGTACCTTTTTGCATGATTCTGGCCCTGGTTCAATTAGGGAAATAGTCTCATTGAGAATCATCCTTCTTACAATCGTTGTCTGCAAAGAAATCACCTTATTAAATTGTTAATTGTCTAAAATATTGTTAAATATTTATTAGAAAACTAAAAAGATGATAAGAACATTTAGAGGGTATATATATAAATTAGAACAAGTTAAGGTGAACCAAAACTTTGACAGAACCAGAAACAGTCATATGATGAAAATCTGCAGTAGAATTCTGAGAATATAAAAAGCTATTATGGAGAAACCTTAATATTAGCATAAAAAGAAAAAATATTAAATAGCTGTATGTTGAAACTTACAACTTTTTTAATGAGTGGACAATGTAAACTTTCAAAACATGTTCGTTAGGAATGCTGAGAATATTGTGGACAGAGCAAGCAACTAATCAAATCGAATGTCAAGAGAGAGTAGGCCTAAAAGTCAAAGTAAGACCGTTGAGAAAAGCAAGACAGGAGTCCGGGAAGTGCGAGTATTTGAGATATGTAACTGGCAAAATTCAATCTAGAGACCACAAACCAAGTTGTGAAAATATTTTTAAAGTTAAGTTTTGTTAATTATATTGACGTCTCACAAATGACCCCTGATTAAAATCATGAAATATATTTTACTATATAATACATTAAAAATGTATATTATAAAATTTGCTGCAGAAAGGCATTTGTCTTTTGAATTACAATCCTTATGGAAGGAACGGAATTAGATCAGGTTCGCCATATTGCTGGCTGATATATTGAAGCATTATGCTGTCATACACTACAGCCATTACACTATAAAGCTCAGCTGTATGTATACATACCAGTATCTGGCATGCAGAAAAAGACCAATTAGATAGGGACCCCATAAAATAATTTTCTTACTTCAAAATATATTGTTATACAAATTATTCTTCATGTCTTTTACATATAACATATTTAATATATACAAAGATAAGATAAACTTTGTGTTTATAATGAACCAAACTCAAGTATTATGACAAAATACAACTGTGATCAGATCTGTTAGTATGAATTGTTTAACAACAACGGATGGCAATTACACTTCTCACCCCTCTCCAGTTATTGCTACTGTGTTCAGCAAACAGTGATCTAATAAAGTGAAGTTGACATACAAAAAAATAAATTGAAATTGAAAAACATAATTATTTGGATTTTATATTCTTATTTCTATAAACTTAAACAATACCTTAAACATCCGTCGTCGTTTGAAAGTGACAACAGAAAAAATCACATGATGGTTGTCGTCAAGGTAGAGGTCTGCATACTCATGAGCCAACTCAGGCTCACCTCCTGCTTCTACTTGGAACTTCTCAATAAACCTGGTGACTGTCTGTGGAAAGAGTTCTTCTGGGAGATAGCCACAAAAATCATGGAAAATGCTAATAGCACGAATTCCATAGTCTTCTGTGAGTCTTTGTTGTTCTGCTATTGGCTTCAGGCGCAATGGAGTGTAGAAAACACGTTCACTGCAATCCTATAAAATAAAAATAGAGTTTACACAAGCTTAAAACGTCTTAGTGAATAGTGTTGTCAATATATTAACACACTTCAAGTTTCGCTACTTTGTTTTTAAGTTAGTGCTGAGATTTCTGTACTGTACATGATTTAATCATAATAATGATGATTATAATAACCAATTTTCAATTCTGTACATAAAATAACATGGTAGTGCATTTTTTTTTTTATAGAATAAGGCTAATTTATATTTTCATAATATTAGAATTATCAACAAAGATGTTCCATATTAATACTCATGTAATATAAATACTGTTAATATAAATTATAATAATCTAATGATAATTAATAATTTTTTTTAGAATTATTAGGTATTTTTTGTAAAAGTTTACAGTTATATTTTTATAGTTTTTTAAACTGTGCAATTAGTTAGTTACTGTATATTTTAATTGTGCGATTTAAGTATTAACCTTCCATTTCATTATTGGTAAAAAATAATTATTTTGTGGATGTTGTGCTTGTCATTGTTGTTTAGGTTTGTAATTGTACATTAAGTTAGTTCACCTAATGTTTCTGAATATATATGAATGGACAATAAAGAACTATGTGACTAATTTCCATATTTTTACTTTAATAAATTATAAACTTCAGAAAATTTGATAATAATCAATAATAAAAAAATTTGACTTAAAATCATAACATACTAAATAAATATTTATAGTGTAGCTATTCCTATTTGTTACAGTATACTTATATTTAAAATATATTATTTGCCTTAGATGACTTCCTCTCACAAAGCAGTCCAAATCTTTCCATGAATTTCACTAAGATGTCAAAGTTTCTGTCCAAATCTTTGATATCCTTCCAAAGAAACCTCAGTAGACGCTCCTCTAATATTCCTTTGTCCAGCCTTCTCCAACTCTGCTTCATAATTGCTAGCTGTAATAAAATATATGTAGTATGTAAATTGTAAATAATAATATAGATTTTTATAGTGCTGGTATCCATTAAACAAGATGTTCATGGCGCTTGATATGTGGATTAGTACCTCGATCAATGACTTTTTTCGCCCCTAAGGGACCCTACGTGTGTGTGCTACCCTGTAACCTGGTACAATCAACTCTCTTCCACCACAGGTACTATCTGTACTAGTACATCGGGGTTGTCCCCCTGTATTGTGTTCTTTATAGTGCACACGAGTCATTGCGTACACTCAAGGGCGTCAATCCATGGGTGTGATGAATTGCCACAAAAAAGAAATACTTGGACCAGAGGGCCAAGTCTTGGCTGCGGGCCAGGGGGTCGCCCGATGGGGTGGTGACGGCCCCGGAAGCTCTGGTGTCTATAGCCTTTTGTAAGTCCTATCTAATTGCTTTTAAAGAATAAAATTAACATTTATTTCCACATATTTTTCGAAATAAGTGGCGGATCCAGGAATTAGAAATAGAGGGGGCTCACAGAGGGACTTTTGCAGATGGCGTGTAGACCACCTGAGCCGCACCACGGTTGGGGCTGAGGTAAAAATGTTTATGATTATGGCACCTCTAGTTTGCCGGAAATGGCATTCACTCTCAGACTCAAAATTGAATATATATTTCTTTTTATTCCTTTTTTAAATTTTGAAAAATTTAGGGAAGGTGGGCCAGCTGGGCCCCCTTGAATCTTCCACTGAAATACTCATCACTTATATATTATGTGCAAACTAACATTCATTATAAGTCAATCATGACATCATCATGGCAACTCCCAATGTTGTTTGCCTATCCCCACAGTCCACTAATTTTTCAATGAGTGGACGCTTGGCTTGATTTTTTTAGGTTCGTCTTCGTGATGATATCGCGCACCGTGATGAAAATTTAATTATGGAAGATTACTTTCGTAAAACAAGGTTATTTAGAACCCGAAGAAAGTTGCTTGAAATTCAACATTAAGTATGAACAATTAAGGAATTAATTGAATTAATGGACCCTCATAAAAATAAACAAACTGAACATTTAATAGGAATAATGCCTACTGCAAGAGCACAACAGCATACGCACAGCTAGAAATGTAAATACGCACACAGAATATTGTCTCATATCACTATTGCAACCAATGACTGCTACAACAGTTGGTTATCAAAACTAACATTAAAAGACGGCGATTGACTTATAAAGCAATAGTAGAACGTTGAACGTTGAACGTTGCAGATATTCTCTTTTTGATGCGCTCCATTTGGGATGGTGTGGTGTTATGGAATACTGCAAGGCCGTCGTCCCTGTACAGTCCTAAGTTGGAATTACCGTAGTCATGTGACAGGTGATGCAGGATGTATGATCCTACTAGCTCACAAACTTCGGCACCATCATAGCTGCCCATGTCAAATAAATTATTGTCTGCTGTTTTCTTTTGCCAACATTCACCATTGTTGAAGAGGAGTGATTTTCTTGCATGGGAGATGATATTGCGGTCTTCTTGGCTTATATCTATGTATGCAGCCGCAAAGTCTAAAGCTCTGTTAAGGAGGTCTTCAGAAATGGAAGGGTAGAAGTCCACAATGTCGAATATGATAAAGGAACAATTTTTCTTATCTGCTATTCCTTTATACCAGTGAATGAAGTTATTCGTGTTTTTCCACTGGTTTACTCCTGTCTTGTAGGTAACAGCTTTGTTAATTTTGTCGAGTATGTGTTTGCTGACTATACCAATTTCTGTTTTGGATGGGTTGATCAATCTGCACGAAGTATTATTTTGGAAGTTTTCTTTGTGGTCTTTTAGTGTTATAAAGGCTGGTTTTTTTGGAAAAGGGTGTCTGCTCTGTCATCCAGGTTGAGTGAAGCAGCAATGTGACTGGCTTCAGAGTTGATCTTTTCTGTTGCATCGGAGGGGGCTTTCTTGTAGCTCTTGGTGATGTTTTCCTTAAGTAGCTTGTCATATTGTGCTTTGTTGACTTCATAGAAGTTTTTTGTTTTATCGGCTGGTAGGAAGAGTTTATCCGATGAGTTGATCATTTTGGTGTCTTCTTTTAATTTTTGTAGGAATTTACAGTTGCTGTTGCGAGTTTTGACGTCTTCAATCAACTTTAAAACATCGTCTTCAAAAGATTTGAGCTCTTGTATTTGGGGTGGAGTTTTCCTGGACTTAAAACCATACGTTTCTTTTTTCGTAGCATTGGACGGATTAAGGAAGTAGAAAGCCTTCCAACGCATTCTCTTTTTGACGCTTTCCGTTTTTTCGATGAGCCTCATTTTGTAGTCCTTGATGGGTGGAATTGGGATGTTCTTCATAGAGTACTTGAAATTAACACGTTCCATTGTTGATCCAATAGATTGAGTATAGTGC